AAACCCTAGAAGTCTAGGCTATGTGGGTATGGTAATGAGTATATGTGATGTCCTTTCCACCTCTGGACGAGATTTAGGGTTTACATGAAGTCGGTTATATAGACACCAAGGGGATTTAGGGTTTACATGAAGTCGGGTACATAAGAAGGAATCTTCAGTCGCCAAGCTTGCCTTCCACGCCAAGTAGAGTCCAATCCGGACACGGTGCAATTTTCGGCCTTCATGTCTTCACAGCCCATCAGTCCGGCCCATGGATAACAAGCCGGACGCCCGAGGACCCCTTAGTCCAGGACTCCCTCACCGGCCCTCTACTATGGCGCGCCCTGGGGAGTCCTACTCCCACCGGGAGTAGGATTCCCCCCTTCCATGTAGTAGGAGTAGGAGGGAAGGAAAGGGAAAAGAGAAGAGAAGGAATGAGGGGGCGCTGCCCCTCCCCCTAGTCCAATTCGGACTAGGCCTTGGGGGGCGCAGCCTCCCCTCTCTCTATCCCCTAAAGCCCAATAAGGCCCATATACTCCCCGGCGAGTTCCCATAACTCTCCGGTACTCCAAAAAATATCTGAATCATTCGGAACCTTTCCGATGTTCGAATATAGTCGTCCAATATATCGATCTTTATGTCTCGACCATTTTGAGACTCCTCGTCATGTCCCCGATCTCATCCAGGACTCCGAACTACCTTCGGTACATCAAAACACATAAACTCATAATACTGATCGTCACCGAACGTTAAGCGTGCGGACCCTACGGGTTCAAGAACTATGTAGACATGACCGAGACTCATCTCCGGTCAATAACCAATAGTGGAACATGGATGCTCATATTGGTTCCTACATATTCTATGAAGATCTTTATCGGTCAAACCGCATAACAACATACGTTGTTCCCTTTGTCATCGGTATGTTACTTGCCCGAGATTCGATCGTCGGTATCTCAATACCTAGTTCAATCTCGTTACCGGCAAGTCTTTTTTACTCGTTCTGTAATGCTACATCCCGTAACTAACTCATTAGTTATTGCTTGCAAGGCTTATAGTGATGTACATTACCGAGAGGGCCCAGAGATACCTCTCCGACGATCGGAGTGACAAATCCTAATCTTGATCCATGCCAACTCAACAAACACCATCGAAGACACCTGTAGAACACCTTTATAATCACCCAGTTACGTTGTGATGTTTGGTAGCACACAAAGTGTTCATCCGGTATCCGGGAGTTGCATAATCTCATAGTCATAGGAACATGTATAAGTCATGAAGAAAGCAATAGCAATAAACTAAACGATCATTATGCTAAGCTAACAGATGGGTCAAGTCAATCACATCATTCTCTAATGATGTGATCCCGTTAATCAAATGACAACTCATGTCTATGGTTAGGAAATATAACCATCATTGATTCAACGAGCTAGTCAAGTAGAGGCATACTAGTGACACTCTGTTTGTCTATGTATTCACACATGTACTAAGTTTCCGGTTAATACAATTCTAGCATGAATAATAAACATTTATCATGATATAAGGAAATATAAATAACAACTTTATTATTGCCTCTAGGGCATATTTCCTTCACTGCATACTCTATTATGTATGCAAGTTTTGTATCGAGTGTTTTTAATTGTGTTCTCCATATGAGTTCTCGTGCCCAGTTGCTGATTGTGGTATGTTTGTAGGGCTATAATACACTCTGGACACTATTTAGCAATATTGAATAATGGCTGATCACGCTTCCAGTATTGCAAATTGCTATGCTTTAAGATAATGTTATGTGGTTTGATTTTATTTTTCTTCAATTCTTGCAAAGTGGTTTGAAATGTCACGACACCGATTTATTTGAGCCATTCTTTATCTTTATCTTTTGCTGATGGGAGGCATGTTGCATCAGACATGGAGATATGACAGATCCGCGGCACGGGCTGGTGGCAGATTATGATATGTGCTATAATAGATTGGGCCCATCGGACTAGAGTCGAAGGATGAGTTGGTAGTCGCTACACTTCCATTGCACAAATTCATGGGGACAAACATCGATATTATCGCATTTTATTCTTCGGTAATGTGTATTAATGTTAAGTTAAAGTGGCGTGCTTAATGTGTTACCATTTTTAATAAAGCTGGTCGTCATAGTTGTGGATGGATTTTCTATCTGTCGCATTCTCTCTGTCCCCTCGAGTTAAGATAGAGTGAGAAATGAACACGTCTTCCAGCAAGGTGAAGATTGAGAAGAAAATGTTTGGCTTGAAGGACGGGGTTTATTGGTTGGAAACATTATGTTTGATTGTGCTTGATGTGGAACTATCAACGTATAACATCGCTTTGATGAATGTATTCAGGGCCGGCCCTGAGGTGGGGGGCAGGGGGGCGGCCGCCCCGGGCCCCCCAGGTCCAGGGGGCCCCCCACGTTGCACATAGCCCATGGGCCTCAGAAGCAGGGACGCTAAACACTCGTACGATCGATTAGTATGCAGCCTCAAGGGCCTAGCAGCTGGATGCAGCAAATCCACGGTGATGGCGAGAAGTTTGTTGTAATTTGCCAGTTTCCTTACGAGGCTAAGCCGCAACGATCCCGATCCCGATCCCAGGCTCTCCAGGTCGCGAGACGAGTTGCTGGCGCTGGACGAACCGCATCTAGGGTTCAGTACTCTGATGAACTCCGCTCCGCTATCTGGTTTCTAGGCGCTGGATGCGCACACCTGTTGCCGAGCGCTTCCGGACAGAGCGAGATGCAAATTCACATCGTGTTATCATTGAGATGAGAACTGACCGATCCAAGGTACTCCTATATCATATCTTTAATTTATCACTTCCTATGCTAGCTCTATCAGCATATCTATCTATCTATAGATTCATGTTCGCTCGTCTGTTGCATTGTATTGTGCGACGTGATTAGCTCCATCAGTTAATCGTAAGATTCACAAACATAGGTCTACAAGAGCCCCATAGTTCTTGCACTGGCCCTTACCCTGGCGCGCATAGCATGGAGCGCAGGCTGTCGTACTATATTAGCGTTCTGTGTGTATTGTGTGGATTTTTAAAATCTTGACCTATTCTAATTAAGTAATTTATCTTCATATACACCATGCATATATATAGCTTGCATTGTGCAAGTTTTGAGGCAAATTTTTAGCGCTTTGAGTTATCATGACGATTAAAAAGTATGTGTAGAGATTCTGGCAGTGACACACTATTTGTATTTACCCTCTTAATATATAGGCAGCTCAGCTGCCATTCGCTAAAAAAGTGTATTGAAAAATGTGGGTTCTATGTAATAAAAAACAAACCTTTAATTTGAATTCGTATTGAGAAGAAGTTTTTGATGATAAATATTTTCAGTGATAAAAATTCATTGCGAAGGAGAGAGTATATGAAGGGCCCTGAGATTAAAAAACTCAGTGCTAAAAATTCATTGCAATGGAGGGATATATGAAAGGCCCCTGAGTTTTAGGTTCGCCCCGGGCCCTCAAAATCTCAGGACCGGCCGTGAATGTATTCATATTTTTATATTATTCAATAATAATGTACGTGTGCTTGATTATAACTTAAGCTCATCTAATATTTTGTGGTTCCGTAGCGTAGCATGAGCATTTTACTAGTTCTTACTAGAAACTTGGTGATATGTTTCGCAGATCTTGGAAAAATTGTTCGGGCCAAGTTTGGTTTCGACGTCGTGGGACACTACGCACGACCTGAGGTGCTGAGCTTGACTGTGAAGACCGAAACCGAAGCACGCCGTGTCTTTCAGCTCTACCGTGGGATAAGATTCGAGGCGCAAAGAGGGACGATAGTTTGACGACCTGATGTCCAGTAATCTTCCATAGTCATGTATAACAAAGTTGTGATCCAACGTCTGTCTGTCGGCATTACAATTTACAACAATAATTGTGCCTTCATATATATTTTTGTAAAGATTCGGAGAAGATGCTTGTTAGCATAAACAATTAAGGCATGCACATGCCCTATTTTACAGGTCTTGTCATCGGTCATTCTCTACTGGTTTGTCTGTCACACTCTCGCTCGTAGTCACCGGCCGCCATATATTCAATTTCCATCGACTTTAACATCCTAGCATACAGGGGACGTGGATGCTTATCGAACATCACCTTCCCATTGTGTTTTTTTTCATTATTATTTTCTTTGATGCGATCACTGGTATATACTTCACCAAAGAAAGGAAAAACATCACTGGTCTACGCTACTGTACATTTCACTTTCCTTTGTGACCAGTGCAGAGAATATACACAGGAACGATGAAAGATGGAGGCAACTCGATAAGCATCGCGGCGGCCATCTTTTGTGTACTGTTTCCGGCAATGTAAAGTCTCATCACGGGTCGCGCATATTTAGGTTGCAATTTTGCCGAAACAAATGCCAATATCCGGAGCCTCCGGATTTATTTAGGCGCAATCATAGTTGTTTTATTCAATGAATAAAGCGGACGGTGAGGAAGGAGGACCACATGGTGGCAGCTGGCGTGAGGCAATATTTTTTCTTTTTTGTCCGGTTGCTCGCGATCGCTAGCGAACAAATAGATAATGACTAGCCACATACGTCTATATAACGAAAACAGGCAGACAATGTTGAAAAATAGCACAAATCATTTCATCAGTGGAAGACAATTTAGAAGTTGGAAACAGCGAGACAGCTGTTCAGGAAAAGAGAGGACAAGGCTGGACAATGTTTGGAAAATAAGAAACGATGTAGACAAGGCAAGAGAGGCCTAGAAGCATCAAGCATGCGCTGTGGAATTCAACTCCCTCCGCTTTGTCGTCGTGCTAACAACCCATCCACTGTCACACCAGCGTGGAGCTGTGGATTGATTGGCGCTCTCTTTGTCCAGTAGCAGTTCACTGACCCGGCGCTCTCTTTGTCCATTCCGGCGCTCCCCGTTTTCCCCTCCAACGCCCACCTCTGCTTCTAACCTCCACATCAAGGTCCAGTCCGTCCGTAAGCCTCAGCGTCGGAACTACCGCGATCGATCGAGCGAGTTTCCCGGGCCCACACTGATGGCTCTGGTTCCCTCGGGCTCAGGCGGCGCGCCGGTGATCGCCGAGGTGGAGATGAACGGTGGCGCCGACCAGAGCTCTGCCACCGTACGCGCCACCGTCGTGCAGGCATCCACCGTCTTCTACGACACCCCCGCCACTCTCGGTAACTACCCGCGCGCCCCGGTTCCCCTGCCTCGTTAAACGAACCACTTAATTCTTTCGCTAGCCGTCCCGCCCTGTTGCTGCTCGACTACCTCTGGAAGAATCACCAGCGTGTTGGATTAGTTACAGTTGCCATCAGCTGAGATGGGATCATGGAGATGGCGTCTAAACTTTTCTCGGCGCAGTTCATTTCAGAGTGATCCGCGGGTGCTGTGATGACTTGGTGTTCTCTGTCAATGGGAACCACCAGTTTGTTATACACCGTTGCTTTGCCATGATCGGCAAATCTTCTTGTTTGCATCTTTAGGGCGTGTGTGTATAGTGGTAGAAAAGGTTGCCATCTCGCTGCAAAACATAGCAAATTAGCAATGCGATGGTGGAGACGGCTGTTAATGATCATGTCTCTTGTGTCCATTGGTTTTGATGCATAAGCCTTGTCTTAGCTTGTTCGTGCTTCCTTGGTTTTCTGCTTACGATAATTAGACTTGTATATTCGTTCTGTTTGATTCACACAGCTGAAAGTATTGTGGCCTGCAGGCAGCAAGGGTCATCACTCAAACTAATACTCCGTAGCTTCTTTAAAGGCTTCATTATGATTTGTTATTGACCATGTATCTATACTTTTTGATGTCAAATAAAGCTAGCTAGCGTTATAGGAAGTTTAAAGGGAAGCGAGGATGTTGCTTTCTTTTTCTCGAAACCACTATCGACATAAACCTAACAGAGATTTACTGTACCAAGCCAAATAAAACGAGGAAACCGCTGCACTTCCCAGTTTTCATTCTAGTATGCTGCCACATCATGGTCTCATGTCCACCACCTCTGCAATTGCCTGGCATGGGGACATAATTCATAGTTTGTTTTTTCTGGATGCATGTGCTTGGCCTCTGTGCACCCGCGCGTCAGTACTAACATTTTGGACGACAAGATGGTTATTTATCAGCATAAGTTATGTGTATGTTTTGGTAATATCGTTATTTCCACCGCAGATAAAGCAGAGAGATTGATAGCAGAGGCTGCTGGATATGGTTCACAGTTGGTGGTGTTCCTGGAAGCTTTTGTTGGTGGTTATCCTCGTGGATCCACCTTTGGCTTCGGGATCAGTATTAGTATCACTAATCCAAAAGACAAGGGAAAGGGTGAATTCCAGAAGTATTATGCAGCCGCCATAGACGTGCCTGGTACGTGAGACTGTAATGGAGTATGTCTGCTCTCTCTTTTCAACTATTATATTCTTATTGTCGACTATTGTTAACTTCTAAGGCGTTATCTTCCTTACATATTTTTCCTTGGACTGCTCCTGTTTTTAGTCTCTTTTTTGTGTCTGACATATGCGTAATTTGGAGAACAGCTGACATCTGCTTTTTTCATCTTTAGCATGAAGCATATCTGCATATCAATAATTGCTTTACAACCGAGTCGTGTCTTTTTAGTATTGGGCAGAGAAAGAACTGATTTTTGCAAATGCATATTCTTCATGGCACTCTTTGGTTTTGAAAATCAAATATCTTTTCACATACTTCGGTGAACACTACGCAATGTGGTTCCTAATAGACCGTCAAGGAGTTCGGAGAAGGAAGAAATTGTTGGATGAAATCCTCAAAGCTAGACATGAGTTAGTTTGTTGAGAAAAAAAAAGTCTTAGTATCTGGCCGTTCGTTGTCTTCCTGATGCAGTTTATGAATATAATTTCACAAAAAGTATGGACAACCGTCTACCATAGATCATTGATAATTTGAAACCTCATACCTGGTTCTGCACCTCCAGCTAAATTTTCTGGTCATGTTTTTCAATCTCTGCCGTTGATTGTCACCGAGCAACTCTGCATCTTACATATTAATTCTTCTAATATTTCATTTATGCTCTATTTTTAGTTTAGCTCAGCTAACAAGTTTTTCAGCTATTTCATACTCTCAAGTGTCAACATATGGTTTGTTTCGACTAGCACTGTGTATGTTGTTACTGACAGAAAAACCTGCAGGTCCAGAGGTGACACGTTTAGCTGCTATGGCTGGGAAATATAAGGTCTTTCTGGTAATGGGTGTGATTGAGAGAGAAGGTTACACACTGTATTGTTCAGTGCTCTTCTTTGACCCTCTAGGTCGGTACCTGGGTAAGCACCGCAAGCTGATGCCAACAGCATTAGAACGGATAATATGGGGATTTGGAGATGGATCAACAATTCCTGTTTATGACACTCCACTTGGAAAGATCGGAGCTCTTATTTGCTGGGAAAACAAGATGCCACTTTTGAGGACAGCACTGTATGGTAAAGGTAAGGCTTTTCATGTATGCTAATAAAAAGTCTAGAGCCAGCATTCTTGGAAGTGCCATGGCCTCATGGGATGATAAGTTGATAAGCTTGAAATATATCCCTGTGTACAAGCCAGATAGGTTAATGTAGAAGATATGCACCGGCACTGCTTTGAGTTTTTCCAAACACATCTTGTGTTGTGTGCAGGTATTGAGATATACTGCGCTCCCACGGCTGATTCAAGGCCAGTTTGGCAAGCTTCCATGACACACATCGCCATGGAGGGGGGATGCTTTGTGTTGTCGGCAAACCAGTTCTGCCGCAGACAGGACTACCCTCCGCCATCCGAGTACGCCTTTGCCGGTTTAGGAGAAGAGCCTTCTCCAGACACCGTTGTTTGCCCTGGAGGCAGTGTTATCATTTCGCCGTCGGGCGAAGTCCTGGCAGGTCCCAATTACGACGGAGAGGCGCTCATCACAGCCGACCTTGGTAAGGCACTAGCCAGATACATGCTCTCTGTGCAGCCACCTCGTGCATACTACGTTTCTGTACCCGGTTTTACTGTGCTATTCCCGCATAGGGCCAAGTTTCTGATAAAATGCCTTTTTGTGCAGACATGGGAGAGATCGTTAGGGCCAAGTTTGATTTTGACGTGGTGGGCCACTACTCTCGGCCTGAGGTGCTGAGCTTGGTAGTGGATGACCAGCCGCACCGCCCGGTGTCATTCACCTCTGCTGCGGAGAAGGCTCCGGCTGCCAAGAGCGACGGCACCGCAAAGCCCTGATGACCATCGGCTCAGTCACAAGCAGTTGATTATCATCGATAGTTTTCTTTTTGTGTGAAACGACCTCTATCGATCGATAGCTTAATAAGCCGATGAAATGTAGGCTTGGATCACCCGCATGTCTGACGCAGTGACGCTTGTGACGGGACAATCAGCTGAGGTCTGTTCACCGTGTGATGCATCTGATATCCACTGCCTACTGCTGCCCACTGAAACAGACGCAGTGTTAAAGGCGTGTGATGCTGGAGAAATGCTCACAACGCCCTCACAGCCATCCAGTTGCAAGCCTGCAGCAATGTGCGGTGCTGTCCAATGTTTTCTCTCTACTCCGACTCCAATGTGCGTGTGATGGCGATTTTTCGAACGTCCGGACAATTTTGATGACAGCTGTTGAATGGCTAAAATTGTTCGAACGTTCCGGTCTGGATAATTTGGTGACCTGCTTGGAGTTTCCCTAAGTTTAGCACTTTTATTTTCCGAAAAATCCCATATGCTTATTAGTGCAGCTGCACTAATTGGGTTAATCGAGCGTACGCGCTACACAACAAAAAATTCACACAACATGGGGTGCATCCGAGCAGACCTGTCATAAAGGGTAATTAGCATCATGTGTCATCATTACACTACAAAATAGAAACTATCTGATCCTCGTCTCTTGGAACGCTCTTCACTTTGCACAAGTCAAGAAAGAAAAAATACGTATATTTATTTGGGTTTTATAAAATTTTAAAAGTCATGACTTTTGATTTGAGTATCGGAATTTAGATTTCAAATTATTTGTGACGAGTTCTTTGAAACTAGACGAATTTTTGTTAGAGCAACTTTGGGTGCTGCATAGGCAACTTTAGTGCTATAGTAAAGCAACTTTTCTTAGTTTGCCTACTATGGTTGTAAGTGCATCTAGTGTCCCTTAATGATTTTGGTGTATTGAAGACTTATAGGTTAAGGGACTGATGCTTTTGCGAGTTTACACATGTTATAAGTATATGAGGAGTTTGATATTTACAGAGAAAGTCGACCTCTAAAAATGAAGTTCTTCGACTGAAGACTTTGGATTTCTGAAGACTTTCTGAAGACTTTGTAAGTGAAGAAATTGGTGTAATTCTGAAGACTTGGTATTCATTCGAGGAACATGAAGCATGAAGACTTTTGTTTTCATAGTTTCATTTTCTCTTTCTTGAGTCATAGGAAACACCATACTGTTAAAGGGGGGGCGAGGAAATACTAAGGAAAAATTTCCAAGTGATGCTCAACTCAAATCCTAAACCTACCAATTCCTTTGAGTGAAGCCATTGGAAATCTCATACAGTTCAGTCAATTTCTTCAGTGACAGAGACGAAGTTCTTCTTGTCTCTGAGGAATTTGGTCTCACTGAGGAGTTATGAATTCGCCAGTGCGGATTGCCTACACAGTAAGAAACATGATAGCCCTGAGGTATTTGATACTCAAAATTACGACCGTTGTTGTGCTATGCGCCAACTGTCCCAAAATATCTACCCACCTAACGGTTATATCATTGAAGGGCGTTTATGTCTTATCATGTCGGGCTGCTCCCTAGGCTATAAATAGCCGCCCCCTGCAACCACTAGCTGGTTGGCTGCTCCAAGAGAAACTGGCACTTTTCATTTGAGAGCATCCCATCTTCCGAGGACTTTAAGTGAAAATTATCAAGTGAAGAAAACCCAAACCCAAACACCTATAAACCCAAAGTGATTGAGTATCACTGAAGAGATTGATCCTGCGTGGATCCGACGCCTGTTACCTTTGAAGATTGTGCATCTTCCATATGGTTAGGCGTCATGGTCTAGAGTATCCAAGAGGAAATTGTGGATCGCCGAGTGACAAAGTCTGTGAAGGTTTGGAAGTCACATGAAGACTTATCACGAGTAATTGGGCGAGGTCTGTGTGACCTTAACTCAAGGGGAATACGGTGAGGACTAAGTGTCCTGAGCTGCGTGTTCAGGACTAGGTGTCCGGGACTGTGTGTTCTCAGGTTTAAATACCTAGGCGCCCTAATCAGACGTACAATTGTCACAGCAGTTGGAACTGGTCTACCAAATCATTGTCTTCACCAAGTTACATGGTTTCATTTCCTCAAACCCTTTCATTTCCTCATTTCTGTGTTGTGTGTTTATTCATATCTGTTTGAAGATTTTGACAGAAGACTTTCTCTATTTCCTCGATTCAATTTCTTTAGTCTGTTTGTCTTCATTCTCTGTTATCCCGTGTTTACGCTTTCTGTACTCTGTGCTTGTTTTCATTTCACCATGAAGACCAAGCTCATGCACTATTATGTTTACTTATGAGTACTTATTCCGTTGCAAGTAGCTCTTCACTCAGGAATTTCCTTACCATGAAATTCCTCAATGAAGAATTCATAAAAATCGCCTATTCACCCCCCACTAGTCGATATAATGCACTTTCAATTGGTATTAAAGTAAGGTACTCCCTTGTTCTGTGTGATTTTAGTTTAACCACCTGGAGTTTTAGTTATGTTGACCACAGGTATGATCAAGGTTTCTGCTGGGTGTCCTATTGTAACGCCCTCGATGCGGCTATAGCTCCCACGTGTCGAGGCACGACTTAGAGACATAACCGCATTGAAAGCAATGTCGCAAGTCAGGCAATCATTACAACATCCCATGTAATACATAATAAAAGGGGGAGATAACATAGTTGGCTTACACTCGCCACGTCACATCAGATTACATAAATAACATCCATCAAACAAACACTCATGGCCCGACTACGGCGCCAAAATGGAAAAGAACCCAACATCCGACAAGGCCCTGATCGAACCCCAACTAGGCACCACTACTGATCATCGGGAAAGGAAACATAATAACGCTGAGAGTCCTCGTCGAACTCCCACTTGAGCTCGTACTCATCACCTGGAGCGGAATCACCTGGACCTGCATCTGGAATTATAGTATCTGTGAGCCACAGGGACTCAGCAATCTCGCACCCTCGCGATCAAGACTATTTAAGCTTATAGGAATGGATAAGGCAAGTATATGTGGAGCTGCAGCAAGCGACTAGCATCTGTGGTGGCTAACTTATACGCAAAAGAGAGCGAGAAGAGGAGGCAAGGCGCGAGCGAGAATCTAGAGGAACAGCCTACGCAAGCATTACTCCAACACCGTGTCCACTTCCCGGACTCCGCCGAGAAGAGGCCATCACGGCAACACACTCAGTTGATTCATTTTAATTAATTAAGGTTTAAGTTATCTACAACCGGACATTAACAAATTCCCATCTGCCCATAACCGCGGGCACGGCTTTCGAAAGTTCAATCCCTGCAGGGGGGTCCCAACTTAGCCCATGACAAGCTCTCACGATCAACGAAGGAATAGACCTCCTCCCAAGACATTCCGATCAGACTCGGTATCTCGGTAACTCAAGACACTTCGACAGGGTAAAACAAGTCCAGCAACACCACCCGCTGTGCCGACAAATCCCGATAGGAGCTGCACATATCTCGTTCTCAGGGCACACAGGATAAGCTAAGCGTACGGGAGCCAACGTAACCCAAGTTGCCGAGGGACGGCCCCGCACGGTGCTCTAGTTTGGACCAACACTCAGAGGAGCACTGGCCCGGGGGGGTTAAAATAAGATGACCCTTGAGTCTGCAGAACCCATGGGAAGGAAAAAAGGCTAGGTGGCAAATGGTAAGACCAATTTTGGGCATTGCTGGAAAAGCTTTAATCAAGGCGAAATATCAAGGGGTTCCCATTATAACCCAACCGCGTAAGGAACGCAAAATCCGGGAACATAACACCGATATGACGGAAACTAGGGCGGCAAGAGTGGAACAAAACACTAGGCGAGAGGCCGAGCCTTCCACCCTTTACCAAGTATATAGATGCATTAAGATAACAAGGCAATATAATGATATCCCAACAAGTAAATAAGTGTCCCAATAAGGAACGGCTCCAAACTTCACCTGCAACTAGCAACGCTATAAGAGGGGCTGAGCAAAGCGGTAACATAGCCAATCAATGGTTTGCTAGGACAAGGTGGGTTAGAGGTTCAACATGGCAATTGGGAGGCTGACAAGCAAAAGGTAGACATCGTAGCATTGGCAAAGCAAGAGCGAGCAAACTAGCACAGCAAAGATAGTAGTGATTTCGAGGGTATGATCATCTTGCCTGCACAGTTGTCAGAATCGACTGGATCCTCACAAGCAAACTCAACGGGATCCTCGGTAGCGAACTCGTCTCCCGGCTCTACCCAACAAGACAAACAAACAACAAGGATACAATCAACCACGTGCAAGACCAAGCAACAAGATGAAATGATGATATGCTATGCGGGATGCAAAATGCAAGATATGACAGGAAATGCATGAACCTGGCCTCAACTTGGAATTCCAAGGGTGCTACTGGATAGAGGGGATGAAATCGCTTGAAAACGATATAAAGATCATTGGAATCGGAGTTACGGTTTGGAAATGGCGAGCGTTTTACGAAACGAACCGATCTGCGATATACAGCAAGTAGGCTTCTAAATGCAACGAAATTAACATGCTACAGCCACCAAACATGAAAACAAAATACATAGCAGTGATGTACACAAGATGGTTAACAAAACACTAGCACTGAGCCATAGGCAAATTCATCCATTATGAGGTTCAAACAAGCATGGCAAAAACGCAAATGCAAAACAGATTCCAGACTTAGTGAAATTAACACTAGTCTGAAATTTCAGATCACGATGCTCTCTTTGGAGCAGCAAAACAACATGATAAATGAGCTGAACATGACAAGTAAGAATATGGCATGGAGCTACTCAACAAGCTTAACAAAAGACCCAAAGTGACCTGGGGCCAAAAGGGTTCACAAAATGTATTAACGGGCACACGAACATAGCATAAAACACAATCAGTTTTCAGACTTGGTGAAAACTGAGACATGCTGAAATATAACCCACGAAGGCATGTAAACGAGCTCGATGCACTCACTACGGTGCAAGTCATGGCAAGGAAAGCATATAACCAGCAA